CTGTTTATAAAAATTTACCTCAAAAAAGGAAGATTATGTCCCCAATGAAGCGATTCTTCCTCGGTAAAATTAACTCTTGGGTTAGTACATGTGCGCCACGTTAAAGATATAAAGACGTGACAGTTCCAAGAAAATATTTTTCAAGGAAAATATCTTCTTCAAACCAAACACACGCTAAATCCTATGTAGAATACCAGTACCTGAGATTTTCTTTCGGATCATTTAACAAGCTTATTATGTTATTTATCAGGAAAAGATGAACTTAATAGGAAAAAAATCCTTGTCTGTTGCCAATACATAACATTGGCAAAGAAAAGCCTTAGATATTATAGATATAGTATGTCTATCCCAATAGACCAAAAAAGATCTACTCCTAATTGATATTTGCCAGTTTTTTTGGATGGGATTAAAAATCTGCATAATTAGGTCATAGGTGTCAATACGACAGAGTTTGATTCATCGAGTCCAACATTGTGTGCTCCACTTCTTAAATCAGAATGAACGAGAAAATGCGTCAGCAGACAGCTCATATATTTAGTACCAGCTTTCAGCGAAAAAAGAGAGAAAGGGCATCTAGGAAGTGACATTACAAATTAAAACAGCTGACCTTGAACAAGGTTTAATTTTCTGATCATAGCATCTTATACACTTGTATTTTTTTGTGAAGAAAAGACATAATTGACAGGCCTCAAGTGCATTTTGTGATATTTGGACCACTTGAGTTTTGACGGTGAGGACTTGTTTGTTTGTTTTCACCAACAAAAATATTACTACCTTGTAAACGAAATTTCCATGAAATGATGCAGACAAATATATGCATGTCATTATTCTGCCACATCTAATGTTATGAGGCAGAGAAATTACTTCGCCTGCAAAAGGAAAAAAAGTTCATGTATTTGAAAGGAAAATAAAAAACAAACAAAAAAACAAGAGAAAGTGATATAAAGGGGTAAAGAAGAATAAAGTACCAAAAACAAAATATTGGAAAAAGAAAGGCTGTCTTGATAAAGCGAGGGAGTAAAAATCAAGATTATGAAAGAGTTGGGTGAGAAAAGTATCCTTATATTAAGGGAAGAAGGAGATGTAGAGCCGACTCTTTCTTGTGGGACCAAAAACAAAGACAATTTTAGTGATGCCAATTCGAGGGCTCGCTTTCACATTTCCTACTTGTTTTTGGTGGATTCTACTCTTTCTCTTCGTCACCTCCATCTTCAATAATTAAAGTTAAATATCCTTCTTGGTTTTGAGGAAGATTACCAACACCAATTAACTCTTTTCTTCCTCCCCTACATGCATGATTAATTTAACTACTAGTATTAGATTGTTGTTATCTTCAACTGTTTTTGGCTTAATGTTGATGGAAAGGACAGTTCCGAGAGGGGTTGGGGGTTGGCAAATGCTTCATGAATGAAAGCGCACAAGATGGACTTGGTGTGGCTTTTATTTTTTGAGTAGAAAAATAGAAACTCATTTGTCAAGATATATAAGTGAGCTGTATTAAGATGCATGATGGATACTTTACTTAATTTCTTCTCAAACGTATAAACAAAACTAGATTTTCCAATTGTTACCAAACTGTTTGCTTCAATATCAACGTAAAAGATGCGGCATCATTGGTACGTAATTATACAGGTTTTCATCTGTTCAACTAACCTTTGCCACACGTCTTTCTGAAAAATGGAAATGTCCCCAAATAAGGGTTATTCAAATTAAACAAGCAGAAAATACCCAATAAAATATTCTAATGAAATAGCTTAATGACCAAAATGCCACAATTCAAATAGTAGATATGTGAAGATAAAAGAAAGAAACTCAGAAAATGGGATCAATTTTTGCTATACTTACCCTCACTTGGGGTTTGCGCATCAACTTGTTATTGTTAAGGGGATAAAATGAGCAGAAATGGAGCCAGGCCACGTAGGAGGATTTGCTTCCAAGTGAAACGGTAAAAAAATTGTAATTCTCCTTCCTGTTTGCAGCTTTAATCTCATAAATAATGAATAAAAGACGAGTCATAATTTGACATATTCATAGGAAGAAACGTTTGACCCAACATTAACTTCTAGAGAAGGAGAAGCAAACTCAACCAACAACCGCGCAATTAGGTCGGAAGTATGCCTATCTCATCTTGTGCTGAATATAGTTGTTTAAGTGCTTGAATCTTGAAAACCAAGTAAATTACATTAGTTTCCCTAGAGCAAATAGCCCTGATTTGTTTTTTTTTTTTTTTTTTTTTTTTTT